TCCCTAGAATGACATGTCATGGGGATGGGTCGTGTTGAGACGTGACCGCTCCCTGCTCGATGCCAGAACTTTGACCTTGGGTTGTACTTTCTGGCATGTAGTGGTTGGTGGCGGCGTGAGCTTCTGTTAGGAGCCATGCCCGAGGGATCGGGCAAGGCAGAGCCAGCCTTCAGATGTCAGGCAAGGCGGAGCCTGCCCTTAGATGATGGGTGAGGCATAGCCCGCCCTCGGGGGTTAGGCGAGGCGGAGCCCACGGCCTCGATGTCGGGTGAGGCGGAGCCCACGGCCTCGGTGTTGGGCGAGGCGGAGCGCGTCCCCAGAGGTCGAGCGAGGCGGATCGCATGACCTTGGGGTGGGCGAGGGGGAGACCGCCCTTAGAGGTCGGGCGAGGCGGAGCCCGCGGACTCGGTGTTGGGCGAGGCGGAGCCCGTCCCCAGAGGTCGAGCGAGGCGAATCGCACGACCTTGGGGTTGGGCGGGGCGGAGCCCGCCCTTAGAGGTCGGGCGAGGCGGAGCCCATGGCCTCGGTGTCGGGAGAGGCAGAGCAGCCCGCCCCCAGAGGTCAGGCGAGGCGAATCGCACGACCTTGGGGTCGGGCGAGGCGGAGCCCGCGGCCTCGATGTCGGTTGGAGCTGTAGTCGCACCCTTGACTGCCTGGATGGATTAATGTATAACGACCATTAGCCCCTCCTCTTTGGGTACCCTAGTATTGGTCCCCGACAGAGTGATAGTGATGATGAAATGCCTTCTCTTAATGAACTTGTGCAAGAAAATCTTAAATATGCTAAGGCTTGCACTAGCCAACAAAAGAACCTAAAAATGTTGCAAGAAAAGCTAGATAGTTCACAAGAAGCATATAAAACCTTGCTTGAACAATATGAGACATTTGCTAACTCAATATTGAACTATCTACTAAAATTGAGCAACTTGAGGCTAGTGCAACAACAAATGCATGCACAATCAATGATGAGCAACATGTAAAGAAAAATGAAAAATTAAAAGAAAAGTTAGCTAGCTCACAAGATGCTTATAAAAGTTTGCTTGCTAAAATGGAAATCATGTGCAAACATTGTGATGAGCTAACTAATAAAGTTGCTAATCTTGAAGCAGTCGGTACAACCCTCACCAAGGCACCTAAAAAGAAAAGTTCTATCTTTGACATGACTAAAAAGGATGCTTCTACTTCTTGCAATGATTTATGTTTAGACTCACCCTTGTGCAACCAAGTTTATGTTGAGAAAGTTGTTGTAGATACATGCACACAAGAGGTCGCAATGGAGAATGAGCAACTCAAGCAAGAAGTGGCTCGCCTTACCAAGGACTTGACTCAAGTAAAAGGCAAAACGGAGCAAGCCCAACATCATCAAGATAACACCATTAAGGGAGTGAAGAAGCTTGATGAAGGACAAACCGTGGTTTGCTATGTGTGCTACAAGGAAGGCCACAAGTCCTATGAGTGTAAGGTGAAGAATGGGGGAGGAGCTAAGAAGAAAGAGAAAAACAAAAAGGTAACAAGCAAGCTCTCCAACACCTACACCAACAAGGTGGACAAAAAGGCCTCCACACCTTATCTCTTGAAGAAAAAAAAAATGACAAGGTGGTGGCCATCAAGGTGAACAAGCAAGCCAACAATGGGCCAAACGCATTTGGGTGCCAAAGGAGATCATTTCTAACATAAAGAGCACCAAGAAGGTTTGGATCCCGAAAGGGAAGTTAGAAGTCTGATGGACTTTGGGGAATTTGGAGACTTGGCAAAGTATGGGTGCATTTCATGGGGTGCATCATTATGGACAAGGTAATTGCCAAGTGGGTTAGTGAATACTATGGACCCAAATTTCCCTTCCCATGTTATATAACTAGATTTAATTTCTTGCAATTTCAATTAGCATATAGTTCCTTTTCATGCCTAGGTTTGCATTTGCATGTTTAATCTTTTGTCTTGCATACACTAGGTATATCTTATGGTAGGCTTGCTCGGTTTCACTCTTAACCCTTGGAGCAAACCTACATGGTTTAAATTGTTTAGGAGCACAACACATAGCTTGTTTTACAATTATTCATCTAATATGTGCCAAAGTCTAAATTGTAGATAATTTCTCCCGAATATCACTTTCGAAAATGATTCTCATATTCATGTGATGTCATCTTTCAAGTGGTATTTTTTATTCTAAAATCAATGTGCATGTCTCCTACAAGTATTCCATATTTGTGTGCACAAATTTAGGGGAAGGTTACTCTACAAGTTGGATGCTTTGAGACTAACATCTTTTCAAGCTTATCATGTGTGTAGTAGTCTCATTGCAAGGAAAATGGAGTCCCCGGAGTTAAGCATCATACTTCAAATATCTACCACCTATTGCAAGTGGTATAAATCAAATTGGTTTCCACATGTGGTATTTCTAAACCGATATCATCATGTTGATTTCACTTTGATATTTATATGCTTTCTCCATGCATTATATAGATTAAACTCCCTTGAGCATTAATTTGCCAATTATGTATAAACTATATTCTCCATCATATGTATGCATATATTTAGGGGGAGCTTAGTCTGTAATGTGAGAGTCAAATTTTGTGACCTATTCCACTCCACATACAAAGGATCACAAAGTTTGACCCTCCCTTGTGCTACTAATGTCTTCCTTTTCGGTGTTTGATTCTAAAGGGGGAGAATTTGTAGGACCAAAAGCAAGCCCGATCATAATAATTTACAAGTGGTAATGGTTCGAGAAAGGAAGGATAGTGAATTATAGAGTTAGGGGGAGGCTTAAATCCATAATGCCACATGGGGATATTTGCAAGGGCAAGATAAGTTTCCAAAGATGTTTACATGTGGTATTTTTTAGCATCATATAACATTGCCCTTTGCATTGCATCATAGCAACTAAATAGTTTTTAAATTCTAAATTTTTATTATTTACTTGCTTTGGTCGTGTTGTTATCAATCATAAAAAATGGGGAGATTATAAGGAAAATGGACCCTAAGCCCATTTACTTTGAATTTTGGTGTTTGATGACCAATACAATCAAATTAGACTAATGAAATTGCAAGTAATTGTTTTGTAGTTCAATAGGGTGCAATACGTGACTTGGACGAAGGTGATATGATGATCCCACGATCAACACCATAAGCAATACCCTAGAAACATAAGAGAAGACCTAAGATATCAAGCAAAGTCCAAGCACAAAATAGAAACCAAGCCGGACGCAAGATCGCGAAGAAACGAGCTCGGCAGAGGTGACCGGACGCGGCCCAATGAGGACCGGACACGTCCGATCAGTTGCTCGGCAACAACAGGCGTCAGCAGCAGTGACCGGACGCTGAGCAAGGCAATGATCGGACGCACGAACTTCACTGTTCATCATCAACGGCAACACTCTCAGCGTGACCGGACGCGACGGCAGGACGACCGGACGCACCAAGAAGTAGCGTCCGATCATGTCCAGAAAAGTTTCAGAGCGGCGCCAGCGCGACCGGACGTGTCCGATCGAGTGAGACCGGACTCGGCCCAGAGTCCGATCAACGCGCGCGCTCCAACGGTCGGCAGGACTGGACACGTCCGATCGGGACGTGATCAGCGTCCGCACTAGTAGAAAGTTGGGTCTCGGGTCCAATGGCTAGTTCTCTCTTGTGGGGCTATAAATAGACCCCAACCGGCTATTTGAGATGTGGAGAGCTGAGAAACATACCAAGGGTGTTGATACACCACTTTAGTGATCTCTATTTGTATAGTGCTTAGTGATACATTCGGTGATTAGCGTAGGTGCTTTGCGAAATGCTTAGGTTAGTTAAACCATCGCTTATGCGCATGCTCTAGGTTTAGGTCTAGTGTTTAGTGAGGTTTGCACCCTCTTACCACTCGGTGCTTGCGCGCACCATTGTTGTACATCGGAGGGGCTTGTAGTCTTGTGAGATTACACCAATCGTATTTGTGGTGTGGGCGCCACCGTGTATCGAAGGGAACAAGGCCCGCGGCGGTTTGGCTAGGGATAGTGAAGACGGCGGGGAGCGGTCCGGGGGAGGCTTGGCGGAAGGCACACCGGAGACCCACTTGCACGTGGGAAAGGCCCGGGGCTATCCACGGAGTTATCCGACCGGGAGCTTGGCCCTTATGAGGGATTACTTGCGAGGGGCTCCAACAAGGATTAGAGGGAAGCTTGTGCGCTTCTCAATACCTCGGTAAAAATACCGGAGTCGTCGACAGGAGTTTACATATTTCTACCCTACTCTTTAGTTTCCGCATTTACATTGCAATCTTGATTTATGCTTTACTTTCCTAGCTTAGTGATAGGCTAGTTGATAGGTTTGGAACCTAGATTGCATAACTCTTTTTACAGTAGATATTACAACACACTAGCAAAATCGTGCAGTTGCACATTTAGATTACTTTCTTGCATAGGTTTTGACTACGTAGAACAAGAGATCATAGTTTTAAGTTGAGTTTTAAGTTGTCTAATTTATAAACCCACCCCCTCTTAAGCGTCACGATCCCTTACATAGCTTTCAGTGGTAAGGCAAGCAAAACAAAAAGGGAAGTAAAGCTAGCCCAAAACCAACCCAGAGCACTCCAACCTAGTGATGCAACCCGACCTGGTTGTCCAATGTGAAATATATGAGGCTACAAAACACTTAGATTTCTACACTAGAAAGTCATGTATATCTGCATAAAGCTGTTGGCGTGAACAAACAGTACCACTCGAGATTTGGATTTTCTAAGCAAATGATTTCAGGGCCAATGAATGTAAGCAAATTTTCACTTCCTAGGCTATTTATCAATCAAGAAGCGTAAAACATCCATGCCGAAACAAAACTTAACAAAAACGAGTGGCCTCTTTTCACTGATATAGCACGAGCTTCAACTTTAAAGTCTAGGATTCTGAAACCACGGATACACCACGAACATTTATCATAGGGTTATGTTGTGCTACAGACAACTCAAGTACAGCTTGCAATACATCTTAGCACAGGCAATACTTGAGACCCACATCTGCTGGCATAAGTTACACATAACTGTCTATCAGAGACTTCCTCATGTCCTCCACAATCGCAGTGGGCTGCCCTTCCCTCAGCTTGAAGACGCTCTCAATGACTGAGAGCTCAGTGGCCGTCGTGTCCGAGCCACAAAAGGCAGTCCAGTCGTTCACTGTCATGCCTGCAGCAATGACCTCGCTGCCTCTGTTCACAGTTCCAGCGACAAGAGGGACTTGCAGGAGCGTGGAGAGCTCGTCAAGGTCTTCAACGGATGTATGAGGATGAACCTGCATAAATGTATCGTTCACTAAATAGAACATTTGCAAGCAGAAGAGAATGGATGGAATGGAAATGTAGCTAACAGTTTACGTACCAAGCCACCCCTGTTAGAGAAGGCACAGTAACTCCCCACAAGGATATTTCCAGCAATAGTCTGCCTAAACACCTCGACACCAAGCACATCTGCAATAAACTCCTCAGTCTCCTGTTGAATTCATTAGCACAAAGATTTTAGCTGGAGGTAATTGAGGTAGTGCAAAGTTTCAGGGGCTGCCAATAGAATAAATAGGTATTACCTTGTCAAGGTCAGGGTGTGTAAGCGCAACATGGTCATTGCAGGATATGCAATTGCCAAGGGCAGACAACCTCTCATCAATACGCTGAACCACCACTTGATCAGGCAAGCAGTTCCTCATATGCTGAAGCTCTACAAGAGTTCCAAAGCACAGGGAGGACATAAGTATAGATAATTCATGGCAAACCAGGATACTATATCACAACCTATACAACCCAGCTGACAGGATAGTTGAGTTGACACCTATCCTCACCGTTTTCTTTGTCACTTAGATAAGGTAGAGACAAAGAGATATACATTTGGAAGAACAAAACTAGAACTCTAGTCATTGCAGATTTGCAAGCAGCAGCATGGCCATGCAGTTACCAAGCTGAAGCCATTATAACTCCCTAATGGTACGAATATAAAAAGCCTAAAGATTATCTAATGGAAACTAGCTAAGTGCAGGTAAACAATATAAATCTGAGTGTTTACAAGAACAAATGCAAACAAGGCAGCATATTTGTGCCACATGCTAAGTGGTTTATACACTATTTTGAGAAACCTAGCGCTACTTATACTATCCTTATGTATTAAAATCATTTTGAAGGTGAATGCTGATAGAAAACTAGCATTTCCTAGCACATGCATTTTTTTTTAAAAAAAGTGCCATAAACTTGAGAAATAAAACATGGACGGAAGTGAACAATACAAAATGGAAATAACACCGTACATTTGAAAACATCTGGGGTAATAAGATCAGATTCCTAATAGCCAGCCGTACATAAGCATTAACAACAGATGTAGCAAACATTCACAGCAACAGCATAAAGCAAATGCTTACCTTGGTCAGTTGTAGTATGTGGCAATAGAAGTCCATTCTTGTTTCCTGTGCAAACAAAGTGAAAGGGAAGGTGAAGACTAGTAGAGAACAGACCAGATAGCAAAGCCAAGTTTCAGATATTAACCAACACAGAGTCGACCAATTATTCTGGTGCCACCAATAGAGGTCTTGACCACAGGAATGGCATCTGCAAGCTCAGCCTCAAAGGCACTGGAAAACATTAGAAGAACACACTGATAGAGTTAGCATGTCATCTACTTCCACCCAAGTAGCTCAATAACTCAAATGTCAAGTCTGAAAGAAATATGTGGTACTAACCTGTAGAAGTTCTCTGACCCTCCAATCGCTACCAGACAGTAAGCATTTGTCAGCTTGGAGAAAACACCAACTTCACAGTTGTTCTCAAACTGAATACCTGAAAGAGTCTGCATGCCACAAGTTGCAGATAAGGAATTGAAAACACAGATTTCATGAGCAGCAGGGTGAAACATGCCACAAGTTGCAGATAAGGAATTGAAAACACAGATTTCATGAGCAGCAGGGTGAAAGGTTAACCACCCATATTTATTTAGACTAATAAAAGAACTGTATCTTTTATCCTTTTTTCATTGTGAAAAAAACAAAAGAGAACAAAACATGTATGAAAACAATGAACAGAACAGTTTCTCACACTAGAACATTCAACTATTGCAATATGACTGTGATATTGTCGAAATACTGATTCTAAAAACTACAAACTAGCCTTCACCAGTATGTAGCGGCTAAAACATAGAGCAAACTGGAAGCAACCCTATCATCCAACTCTAAATTCCCACCCAAAACACGGATTAGCCAAGACAAAAATAATATCGGCTAATCAAGTGCAACTTTAAACCCAAGATTCATATCCTGCCTCGGATAAGCTGCATAAATCATGAAATGATAGCTATTGAGTCCATTAATCATCAATCATCGACGATACTAACACGCCATATAATGACCTTAAAACAAAGATTACAGCACCGCCAACACAAACGACATACCAAGCGCCTAGGCACAAAACTCGCAACCAGAAATATGACACGGAGGAAATAAAAACGAAACTTACGGGTCGCCATGGTCGGTTGGTCTTGGCCGCAGCAGCTCCTCGACTATGCGTGCACCTGCAGATCAAACACCGAGCCGATTAGGACTCACTGGGCGAGGAAAAAAAAACAGAAACAGCCGAAAAAACGATTGGCGGTGGCGGCAATCTACGGGGGCAGGAGCATGAGATGGGAGGAAGAAGGGACCGGCGCATCGGTGGCTCCGGAGGAGGAGGTGCGCCGCCGCCGCGGAGGGAGGAGGCGAGGCGAGGCAGCAGCACGCGCAGCCGGGAAGGGGGGGGGAGACTAGGGCGCACGGGGCAGACGCCGGTGCACCACACGACGAATCCCCAAGACACCCCACCGCCCATGAACCTAATCGACGCACGCTGCAGGCGTGGAATCTAAGAAGATAGCGAAGGGGAGGGGAAGGAGACGGGGAGCGAGCATGTTTACCAGCCGGAGCGCAGCGGAGCGGAGGCCGCAAGGTCGCCGCCGGGGACTAGGGTTTAGCGGTGCGGGGGTCGGGAGCGAGACGGAGGGGAGGAGGCCACACGGTCACGGTACGACTTGGGAGATCAGGTCTGGAGGCGGTCGCGGCTCCGGCTTTGCTTGATCGACTCGATCGCACGGGTTGGGCTGGGCTGCGGGCGGACATTCAGTTGGGCCGTGTCTGTCTTGGGCTCTTAGCCCTTTTGTTTTTTAAAACAAACATTGATTTTTCGTTTAATGGAAATTACTGTCATGCCATTGCAAATTGAGTAAATACTGGATTCGAATTTTCAGTAACAAATATCTGAAATAATGAAAACCTGGCATACAAGCATATCAATAGTCTCTGAGAGCAAAAGGTGGGATAAAATCGTCCCAAAAGCACCTGAACTACTTCAAATGCAAACGGTAGCGTTCGAACTTGAAAGCAGTAAAGTAAATCAGCTGTGGTAAATCATTCATCGGTCGGATCTACTTTGTCAGATGTCTCGGTTGGCTGGTTCGTATCGTTGCTGGTTCGTTTACGTGAGAGATAAGTACTGTTGGCTGGTTCGCGTAAACAGTAGCCATGTGAGGGGGCTGGCCAGCCAGCCCAGCCCCAGCAATCAGGCTGTTGAACTGCGTCATAGTAAATGAAATATATCATCTCAACTCTATTTAACACGTTCTCAAGTCGCCCTGCTCCTGCAGCTGTTCGTCGATTCGCCCTCAAATCGAGCGCTTTCGAGCCGAGCCGGTTTGTCCCGCAGATTTCACATCTATCTAGCGGTCGCTTCGCTCGCCGCCCGCCGCTTTCGGGCTCGGGCTCAACGGCGCGTGCCACGCGGCCGAGTAGCATCGACTACTCGAGTGCTCCGCTGTGACCTCGAGTCCTTGCCGCCGCCGTCCTCGCCGTGCTGCAGTCGTCCTCGCCGTCACCGTTCTCCTCCAGATTTGGCGGTCACACGGGCATGCCCGCGGATAGCGGGCGCGGGCCCAGGATGGCGCCCATGGCGGGTGGCGGGCGCGGGCGCAAAAATTTGCTCTCGGGTGCGGGCACGCAACACCTGTATCCGCGGGTATTTTGCCATCTTTAATGACGAACAATACAAAGAGAAAACTTGCAACATGCAACAAGAACACTTATTGATCACTAGCCACATGATGGTTTCAAACTGTTCTTAACATATATGCACGAGTCCAAAAAAATCTGATATTGCAAAGAGGTAACGTAAGTCATGGCACTTCTAGTTACAAATATTCTTGTGGGCTGGGGGCTGGGGTACGGCACATACAAAATTCAAAGCTGAGATAGGAAACATGAGTGAGTGAGGAAATATAATGTTTCTCGTAGCCACCAGTCACCAAAGACATCCATCTTAAAACCGAGAGTAGCTTTCTATGCATAGTTTTTGCTTTACACTTAAATATACATTAGACACAAGGAGTGTGGCGTTGTCGCGCTTACTTGGGCCTCGTTTGGCAGAGCTCCCAGAGCTAATTCTTTGTTGAATCCAGCAGGAGCTCTGCCAAACAGTTTTTAAACAAAAGTGATTCTCTGTTAATTTCGTGAAATGATTCTCTGAAATGAACTAGGAGGCTGAGAGCTGAAAAAGTAGCTTCTTCTGATTCTATGAATTGATTCTCTATCATGATTTCAAGAGTTTATGCTAAAGAATCACAGAGAATCACTTTCAGCCACATAATCACTTCTCTCATAGAATCAGCTTCCATAAAGAATCAGAATCAGAATCAGAATCAGATGGAGCTCTACCAAATAGGCCCTTGATTGGACCAGTGTAAACTTTGTGTTTGCCTCTCAAAGTGTATAATTGAACTAAGCTATATTTTAGTGACTTATACTGACTATAATTTTTGCTTTGTTGAATAAATAGGCAGAGAGAAACCTCCAGAGTGCAACACTATAAATTTATGGATATTATAGCTTACGAGGAACAATTCAACTCCAAGCTGTGCACATCATTTTCAATCTCTACAGACTATAGTAATTTCCAGGCTTAAAGAAAATGTATTTGATATGATCTTTTATAATAGTCAAATGAAAAAGGGGTAGGAAATAAGTATAATTGAAAACCATAGCTATGAGTATGAGTATTGTGATCCACGCTTGTGCTTTTCATCAAATACCTATAGAGGATAGGCATCTGCCATCTGATCTTGCAACCAGAGGTGCCATGCAGGGGCTCCAACGGCTCACAACATATTGTTAGATTCTTGCTGACTGATTCAAACACAATATCCAAGCTTCAAATAGGCAAGGCCTTAAAAAACTGGGTGGGGCATTTGCCTCTTTTTCTTTCTTCGTCTAATAGAAATCGCGGCAAAGCTTTTGTCGTCATTTCTTAAAAAAAAAATAGGCAAGGCCAATCAATCACCACACACAAAGTCATGTTCATAATCCGAATAGAATTGGCTAGTGGAAAAAATCGTATATATTATATAAAACCATCTTAGCCAGTTCTCAGGTAGCCGGTTTTCTCAGGAAGGGCTAGCTAATATTGCACAAATCAGCTTAAGCTGGTTTTGTCGATTCAGTGTAAATTAAAGTAAATCGGCTTCGCCAGTTTTGTTGGTTGTGTCCCAAATTTGCAGTCAACACCTGCATTGTCCTAAACAAAGTTGTATCTACATCCTTTGATCTATTGTGGAATGTTACCATGTAGCTTAATATTTGAGACTGCAAATAACTTCAAATAAAAAACTTGGCCATACAAAGTTATAATGTGTCGAACACTATAACTTATTTGTTTGGAAATTGTTTAGTTTAAAATTTAAAATCTAAAAACTTAAGACACATATTTGATGCTCTAGTCAACTTCAAACAAATTGATAAATCTATATATAAGGAATTGGACGTGAAATATGGTCTTAATCCAAGTCATTGTCACAGAGACTCTTTCGACTTGTGACGTTTTAGTAGTTCCGAAAGGGACAAGGGGATGTAGCTCAGATGGTAGAGCGCTCGCTTAGCATGCGAGAGGTACGGGGATCGATACCCCGCATCTCCATCTTTTTTGAAATTTTGTCCATTTTGTCTGGGCTTGTCCGGTTTCTGGCTTTCTGCTTTTTGAGAGCTCTGAGTGTTTTTTCTCCATTTTTTTTTACTTTCCCTGTTTCTGTTTGTTGAGACCCCTGAGCATAATCCGTGTCTTTCGAAACCTACTGCACTCAAGGCTGCAGTGGTCAGGTTTCAGCATGTCAATCAACAATACAAAAAAGACCCCATCATTTGCCATGATCTATCCGAGCTTTTTATCCACTGCACCTCTCAAAGTCTTTTAAGAAGCAAAAAAGACTTTCAGTTTGCCAAGTACACACACTGCCTGTCTCTGCTCACTCTCCACACTAGGACCTTGGCCCAAAAACTTCAGTAAGTCCCAATCCATGTGAAGACAAATAATACAGCAGTTTGTATCATGACTTATATCTATCTCCGGTTCTCTCCACTAGACCTGCAATGAGACAACACTATTGGCCTGCATTCTATAATCAACTAAACATCATATGTAGGTCTCAGTGCACGCTAATTCTTATTTTCATCTACAGATCGTGAACCATATGGTGCTGTGTTCTATGGGCCATGCCCAACCAGAAAGCTGAAGGTAGCTAGTGTCTGTTTAGTTCCTAAAATTTTGCAAAATTTTTCAAGATTTTCCGTCACATCGAATCTTTGGACGCATGCATGAAGCATTAAATATAAATAAAAAATAAAATTAATTACACAGTTTAGACGAAATTCACGAGACGAATCTTTTAAGCCTAATTAGACTATGATTGGATACTCTGTAACAACGAAAGTTTTATAATACTGATTTCTCAAAAGATTTCGCCAAAAACAAGGCCTGATAATTTTGATTTATGTCGGGTAAGTGGTGAGTACCTTCGCTTCTGGGGTTTTTATTCCCACTTATTCTTGAGATGGCGAGATGTACTATGGCTATTATCAGCTGCCTCTATCCTGTGATGGGTGATCTTAGGACCATGGGCATGGTGATTTTTCAGTTCGTTTTTTGCTGCTGAAGACTACGAGTGTGCAACTAGAGCAACCATGCTCTGTCCTTTTGGTTGTGAATCCCTGTTCGTTTAGCTGAAATTTGACTATTGCTGATGCTTATGCTGATTTATTGTGAGAGACAAACATTTGTTATCGCTGAAAAGCACTGCTGAAGTAGTGCCGCAAAACAGGATGAATAATGAAAATGTTGTCTCCTGGCATTGATCCTAATGATCCATCGTTAGTCAGTTCGACTTCGGTTCCACCTAAGCTGAAGCAGCCATTTCTAGACCAGCTTGAGAAGTCAAGTGAAGACAAGCAGTTTGCTAAGTTTCTTGAGACGATGAAAGATGCCTAGACTACCATCCCCATCCTTGATGTTATCTTACATGTTCCGTTGTATCCAAAGTTCTTTACGGTGCTGCTCACAAAGAATGTGGTTTGAACGCATGTGCAAGCGTTTTATCTTTATAAATTACGTGGATCGGCTAGAACTCTCTCTCTTATATAATCCTCGGTACTCCTGGAAGTATCCTATCTGAAACAA